TCCCCCTTCCAGCCTTTCCACAGGGTCCCTCCCCCCAGCCTGCCCCTAGCCTTCAGCCACCAGCTGTCCTGCTGTGCTCCCCCAGGAGGACCTAGTTCCTCTGCCCTCATCACATGTCTCCTCTTCTCTCCTACCCTCCCGCCCAGCCTGAATCCCCAGCCTCCCACCTTGTCCCAGGCTGCACGGCCCAGCAGGGGGGCGGGGGGAGGGAGAAGGAGAGGACTCCCCCCCCACCTCCCCCAGCTTCAGTCCCCAAGAGTGATGGCCCAGTGACAGGCCTGGCCGGTGGACAGGAAAAAAACAGGCAGGGCAGGAGGCAGACAGGCGGCTGGCAGCAGGGGGCCAGCTGCCACAGCCGTGCCAGGCTCTGTCACTGACTGATTAACTCCACTGTCTCCCAGACCCTTGCAGCATCAGGGTCAAACAAATTGTTTTCACGCTTCGTCAGAGGTTTACTTAATTAGTTCATTTGCAATTAGATCTCTCTGTAGCTGGGATTTTAGCAAAGACATCAAAGGAGGGTGATGAGAAGGCGGCTTCCTCCTCTGCCCCATTTCCCCCACCCCCTTCCCTTCTTTGTATCTCTGGGTCTGTCTGCTTTCCAGGCTGTGGGCGGGCTGGGAGGATGGGATGGGAGGGTGGTGATAGCGGGAAGCCCAGGGCCAACTCTCTCTTCTCCACCCCCCTCCACTCCCTGAAGACACCTCAACACGGAGCACGCCCTGGACGACCGGAGCACGGCCCAGTGCCGGGTGCAGATGCAGGTGGTGCAGCAGCTGGAGATCCAGGTGCGGCCAAGGCTGCGAGGGACGCGGACTCGGGGCTCCTGCCCTCCCCACCCATAGCACCGGCTTTCCAGGCGGGGGGTGGGGAGTCTTACGGAGGGGTCATGTGGTCAGAGTCGGCGTCTTTTATTTTCTAGGCCCTAGTTACCATGGTTCTGAGGTGAGGGCAGCTGGATTCTGAGGGGTGAACCAGGGTCAGGCTGGGACCCCTCTGCTGGGAGGCCCAGAAAAGAGACTCACGCCAGTAAACACAAAAATCACATTCCTAGCTGGCACACGGAGCACTGGCGTTGTGCTGTCCTAAATGCGCTGCCTGGATAACTCAGTGCCCTAAACAGGCTTGCGTGGTGGGTACTATTGTTATCCCCACTTTACAGGCACAGAGAGGCAAAGCAACTCGCCCCTGGTCACGCAGCAGCAGGCCGCACAGCTGAGATTAGCGCCGCGCCAGCCTGGCTCCCGAGCTGAGCTCCGTAGCACAAGAGGCTCCTCCGGCCAGGCCGCCAGGCAGCCAATCAATATTGACCCGTTTCCCTCGGGCACAGAGCAGAGGGCCCTGCGTGAGATGCGGTTGTGAAAGATCTATTGAACTTATGAATGGGGGTGAATGAATCATTCATCCGTCCCTGTGTCTCCATTCAGTGCACGAGGACCCTCTCACACACAAGTGCCACAGACTTGGGTGTTGTTCAGCCACAGCCTCTGCCCTCGTTGGGAGAAAAGGCGTGTGCTGTTAGGAAGAGGGCCCCTGCCTGTTGGTGCGCCGGAGCCTGGGACACGCAGTCTGGAGGAGAAGCGAGGAGGGCTTCATGGAGCAGGCGGTCCCTGTCCTGGCCGTGAGGGTGTGAGGGGCCAGAGAGGCCGGGCCAGAGGGAGCTGGGAGCTGAGGCTGGGAGGCGAGTGGTGGTGGGAATAGGGGCTTCCCGGGAAGCCCGGTGGAATGTGGAGGAGGCACAGGGCCTGGCTGCCTCCAGGCGCAGCCCCTGCTCACCCCCGGCCTCTCCGCCCTCCACAGCTGGCCAGGCAGAGCGAGCGGCTGCAAGCCATGATGGCCCACCTGCACATGCGGCCCTCCGAGCCCAAGCCCTTCAGTCAACCAGTGAGTGCCCGCCCCTTCCCACGCCCTCGCGGAACCCTCCAGCCCTCCAGCCCCGGCCCTCTGGACCCCCACCCGCCAAGCCGGTCTCAGCGCCTGCCCCATTGCTCACAGCTGAACCCCGTGTCCGGCTCCTCCTCATTCTCCAAGGTGACCGTCTCTGCAGCAGACTCCTTCCCAGATGGCCTCGTGCACCCCCCCACCTCAGCTGCTGCCCCTGTCACCCCCCTAAGGCCTCCAGGCCTGGGCTCTGCCTCCCTGCACAGCGGGGGCCCCGCCCGCCGGAGGAGCAGCGACAAGTTCTGCTCCCCCATCTCCTCAGGTAAGGGCTGTGGGAGTAGCATTCTCCTCCAGGCTGGGCCCCCCAAATGGCTACCTTGTCCTCTCCTGTCTCCCCAGAGCTGGCGCAGAATCATGAGTTCTACAAGAACGCAGACGTCCGGCCCCCCTTCACCTACGCCTCCCTCATCCGCCAGGTGAGCAGGGAGGGTGGCCAGAGGGCCTCGGGTCCCAGCCTCCAGGAGGATCCTGGGCCAGGGACGGAACTGCCCCTCGGGGCTGTCCCCTCCTGCTCACCCACGTTTCCCTCCTCAGCTGCAGGTCCCACATATATGCTGGTCACGCGACCGCCTCTCTGGGAGCACACACGGTTTTTTGCTACTGATGCCCATTGTGTTCATTCTCTCGTTTCCACGTAGACACGCTCCATGAGACTATTTCCTAATAGACTATGGTCACTCTTAGTCGGCTTCCTGTCTCTCCTCCCCCACCCCCCTCTCTCTCCCTCTCTCACTCACACACACACACACACACACACACCATCTCAGAGAGTGCCCTTTGCCCAAATCTGGATAAATTCCAAGCAGCCCCCACCCCTAGATGTCTCTCCGAGAAGACTGCTTTTGCTCCCCCTCCGGCAGGGGCCTAGCAGCCATTTCCCTGCAGAGAAGCCCATGTGCCCCTCGCACCAGGGCGTAGCTCTTGAGGCTTGTGCGCCTTTGTGCCTGGGCTGTAACCAGCCAGCCCTGCGCGGCCCCAGGAGCACCGTCACCCGTCCCAGCCACAGGCTGCACAGCGAGTCTCTCCTCTGTCTCAGCGAGTTACCAGGCCCAGGCTGAGGGTCTCTTTGCTCCTTCTTGCCCACAGGCCATTCTGGAAACCCCCGACAGGCAGCTGACCCTGAATGAGATCTATAACTGGTTCACCAGGATGTTCGCCTATTTCCGGAGAAACACTGCCACCTGGAAGGTGAGGCCTGCCCCTACCTGGCCCGGGGCCCCAGGCGCCCCTGACATCACACCCCTTTGGGACTCAGACTGCCTAACAGCCCCCTTGGAGAGGGGCTCCGGCTGGGCCACGTGCCCCCCACCCGCCTCCTCAGGGCCATGATGTTCTTTAACTGCCTCCTAATGACGCCTCCCTCTAGCCTGTGCTGCCTTCTTTCTGGGGAGAAACCCCGCTCTTCAGAGTGCTTCTTCGGTGCCTGCGCCTGGTAGGGAGGCCTGGGTTACATTCACGGAGACCCTAAGGGTCCGGATACCTTGGCTAAAGGCACATGCTGTGCAGCTCAGGATGGAGTGGGGGTGAGAGGGGTGCCAGCCCGGCCCCGTCACATGGGTGGAGTGAGACCCATGGTGTATATACACTGGGGCACAGACACAGGCAGCCACACACTCTCCCCAGCTCTGCCATCAGCTGCGGGGAGATAATTGTCTCCATCCAATTAGTCATTTCAACACCTTCACCTCATAAGAGTTTTCCTGAGGGACCAGAGGCAGGCAAGGGAGGGACCCTAGAAAAATAGGACACTGAGATGTGGGCTGAGCTGCTAAGCTGTTTGTTTCTCTATAGCCAAGGTGGTCTGTGTGTCTGTGAGCGTGTGTGTGAGCGTGTATGTGTGTGTATGTATGTGTGTGAGCCCCTGTGTGTGTACGTATATGTGTGAGTCTGTGTGTATGTGTATCTGTGTGTGTGTGAGCGTGTATGTGTGTATGCATGTGTGTGTGTCTGTGTGTGAGCGCGGTGTATGTGTGTGAGCCTCTGTGTGTGTACGTATGTGTGTGAGTCTGTGTGTATGTGTGTGTGTCTCTGTGTGTGGATGTATGTGTGTGAGCCTCTGTGTGTGTATGTGTGTCTCTCTCTGTGTGTGAGCGTGTATGTGTGTATGTATGTGTGAGTCTCTGTGTGAGTACGTATGTGTGTGAGTCTCTCTGTGTGTATGTATGTGTGTGAGCCTCGGTGTGTGTATGTGTGTCTCTCTCTGTGTGTGAGCGTGTATGTGTGTATGTATGTGTGAGTCTCTGTGTGAGTACGTATGTGTGTGAGTGTGTCTGTGTGTATGTATGTGTGTGAGCCTGTGTGTATGTGTGTGTGTGTGAGCATGTGTGTGTGTGTGTGAGCCTCTATGTGTGTGAGTTTCTGTGTGTGTGTATGTGTGTGAGCCTGTGTGTGTGTGTGTGAACCTGTGTGCATGTGTGTGTGTGAGCCTCTATGTGTGTGTGTATGTGTGTGAGTCTGTGTGTGTGTGTGTGTGTGTGTGTGTCTGATGGGTGAGAAGATTCAGGTCTTTGCAGCAGAGAGGTGGGAGGGGTGGGGGAAGGAGAGAGGAGTGTTGGGTCCTATGGGGAAGGTGAGACACCTGAGGAGCCCCGCATAACCGAACTTGGATCCCTGGCTCTTGGGTCCCCCTGCTGGCCAGTGCAGAAACTGCAGTTAAACAGGCTACCTCCCCCTATCCCGCTGGGTTTCAACAAGTGTCACTAAGCCCCCTCCTGACCAGTGCCCAGGACTGGATGGGGTCTGCACAGGGAGGGTGCTAAGTGCAACCGGAGATACTGATCTTCCATCCCCATGCCCAGTTCCCAAAGCCTGGGTGAGAAGCTACAAGGCTGTGATTGGCTGCGAGTGATGTCATTTCCTGCCAACCACAGTCCTGCCCTCTCTCTCAGCCAGCAGGGCCTTCCTGGGGCCCTCCCAGGGCAGTCTCCAACCTCCAGGCCAGCTGGATATGGGGTTTTCTCGATGGTTGAGTCCTATACGATTCATTACATTATTACTAGTGCTTATTTTAATGTTGCGTGTTGACCCTTTGCCTTTAGGGGTGACAGTGTAGAGCCTCATCTCCATGAGACAGTCCTTCCTTGGGGACAGAGTACCCTCCCCGCTCCCCTCTTTTTCCTGTTCCCTCTTAACTGTACCACCTCACTGCAATTTTCACGCTCCTTTCTTGAGCTCGGGGGGAACTGGTTGAGGCGACTTCCTTAAACCACTTGATGACTGTCATGCAGCCACCGTCCCCCATACCCGCCTCCCGTGGCCTTTCATGCCACCTTCCACCTGTTACTCATCTCAGTGGCATGTCTCTTGCCAGAGTCTTCCTCTCCTTCTCCCCTCACCCAGCCCACGTCCCAGTAGAAAGCTGACTGGGTGGGTGACCCTCCCGTCAGCCGGGCTCTGCTGCTGCTCCTGCTGCTGCTCCCGCCGCTTGGGGCACGGCCTGTGCCCTCTTCGTGGCGCAGCGGACTTCATCGCAGCTTGAGGTCCACTGTGACCTTCAGCTTCATTCGTGTCACTTGGGAAAGGCACGCTGTCTATA